TTGCTGTAATCAAGGATGCTTTGGGCAGAATATTAAATGATCCAGGAAGTATTAAAAGAAGATGGAAGGAATATACTGAGTCATTATATAGAATTCAGTATTACATACATTTATAAAAAGTACTGTTAAGCAATAGGAAAGGAAATGATTGTTTAACAAATGCAGTTGGAATGTCCAGTTCGAAGTGTGACTTTTTGAAAAACAAGGAACTCATGAAATATTATGCAAAATGGAGGACATTATGTTGAGTGAAATATCTCAGTCACAAAAGGACAAATATTGCATGGGGTCACTGTTGTAAAATGGGATTGACATCAGGGTTGAGGGAACGCAGAAAAGGAGGGGAGGAATGAGGTATATTGCATTGAAACAAATGAGGGAGAAAACTGTTTAAAAGGGACATATGAATGGGTATTCTTTTCATTACAGAAGTCCAGAGTGAAGGCTGCATAGTCGAGTGGACTTGAAGGGAGGGATTGTATAACAATGAAAGAGTTTTGCTTTTTCTTTTCAAGGAAAAGAGTGAATTGGTGGGAAGGGGGTGGGCAGGGAGAAAAGTGCAACAACGAATGATTGGAAACCCTAAGTCTCTGTAAACGTTCATTAAAATTAATTTTTTAAAGAAAGGAAAAACAAATACCAGCAGGACCCCCAAATGTTTGCTGCACTTCCAAACTAAGTCAGACTAGGAAGAAAGGCCTAGTGAATTACTTCAAAAAATAAACTAACAAGAACATTATGGCTCACAAGAGAAAAAAAATTAATTAAAAAAAATTATGCCACTCATTGTTGGCATATATGGAAGGAAACAGAGATCCCATATTCCATGGATGAAAATGTATAAATTATCACAATTGTTTTCTGGAGGATATTGTGACAATGGATATTCATGTATTTTTAAATGTACATCCCTTTGATTAAGCAATTTTTCTTCTGTGGATTTATTTAAAGGAATAAAAGTAAAATATTAACTAGGGAGAAAAAAGATTCACGTCTGTATGCACACCCATGTTTATCGGTGCATTATTCACAATAGCAAAGAGATGGAAGCAACCCAAGCGCCCATTAAAAAGCAAATGGATAGAAAAACTATGGTACATTCACACAACGGAATATTACACAGTAGTGAAAAACAATGAACTTGTAAAATATTACAAAACATGGAGGCTATTGGAGTACGTTATGCTGAGTGTAATGTCTCAGTCACAAAAGGACAAATACTGCATAACACCACAGTTATAAAATAAGACACACATGGGGAGTTGGAGAGAGAAGGAGGAAAGAGTAGATAGATAATGAACACTGCATTAGAACAGATGATGATGATGATGATGAGGTGAATAATTCTCCAAAAGGAATATATGATTAGGCATAATATGTATGATAACAGTCTGGAACAAGGGGTGCAATTGCAGGAAGGGCTGACAGAGGGGAAAGGGAGGGAGGGAAGAAAAAGTGCAACAATGAATAAAATATAATAAATTTTAAAAGTACCTTTACAATAAATTTTAGATGAATTTTACTTAATTATTTAAAAATCTAGAAAAGAAGAATGAATAGTCTGTAAATTCTCTGCTGTTTCTAAGCAAGTAGAAAACTAGAAAAGGAAGGTAGTAAAGATTAGACTGCAAAACCAAAATTGTTTTGTTCTGTGTTAACTTTTATTACAACAGTAAGGATTTTAAGAAAACATGTCTGTTGTTTATTCATAATTTGAAAGTTAGTGTCCTTTTCTCATACCGACTAGAAACGTTTTGCTTTGCCTACTGGCAAACAGGACGAAGAATGCCATTTCTTCATCTAAAGTTTTCTTTTATAGATGCATTGAAAATTACACGGGAGCTCGTTGTGAAGAGATTTTCCTCCCAAGTTCGAGCGTTGAAACGAAGAGTGACCTGTTCACGACTTACCTGGTGCTGGCTGTCCTAGGAATGGTTATCCTTGCAGCCTTCTGCTTCTTCTGCAGGTAATACATATGAAAAAGAAAGAAAACAAGGAGTGCCTAGGAAGTTATCCTATTGTGGTTACTGTGCCCTTTAGTTCTAGATACAGCTTTCCATTTCTTTCTCTAATACAGCTTTTAATTAAACTGATATTTCTGATACTATCATGGCCATCATTATGTTGACTTTTCTAAATTACTGGATTGAGAGTGTCTAACATATGCTTAATTGGAATGCTAAAAGAAGGAGAGAATGGAATATTGTTAATATTCAAAGATAACGCCTGAGACCTTCTTTGAACTGTTAAGTCACCCATAGATTCTAAATGTCCTCTGGATCTCAAGCAGGATGAAAAAGAACCTTCCATCTGGACACATCAGAGTCAAACTGCATGATGATGTGGCAGAAATGTGCTGTAGCAATACAGAACAGCAGAATTAATTTGAAAACTAACATGAACAGCTAGTTTTCAGATTGGTCTAGTAATACAGGAATAGCAAGCTAATCCAAAGACCTATCATCTGTCCTTTAAACCCACAGGAGAAAGATGGGCAGTCTCCTCCTGTTGTGATGTATACTTCAGAAACCCCATGGGAGGTCACTATGAGTGAGTGAGCTGTTTCCATGAAACTTAAACATAAAACTTGGCCTGTTATATACTGACTTGACCAAGTGAAAAGGTTTTGGGTCCATTTATGATTTGAATTCATTTAAGCTGAGAGAGCCTTTCAACTCTAGTAACTAATTGTTGTTGTATATGACAACAAGTCAACTGGGATTCATTGCAAACCTGTGAACAGCAGATCCACGCCATCCTCACCATTCCGACACACTTGAGTCCGTAGTTAAAACCACTCGTCAGTCCATCCTGTTGTGGATCTTACTCTGTTACGCTGACCCTTCACATTTCCAAGCATGAGGTCCTTCTCCAAGGACTGGACCCTCCTAACCACATGCTCAAAGTACATGAGATGGAGTTTCACTTGCCTCCAAGGAACACCCTGGTTTCACCTTCACCTGGACAGACCGGTTTATTCTCTTGGCAGTTCAGGGAATATTCAAGACTCTTAGTCAGCACCACAATTCAAAGGCATCACCTGATCTGTTATCATCCTTAGTCATTGTCCAGCTTTCAGATGCACGAAGTATCAGCTTTGAATGGAGTCCAAAATGGTACCTCGTCTACTGCTGACATCAAATAGGTTCTAACTCATGGTGATACTCCATCAGGCTGCCGAGGCTTTCAGTATTTACTGGAGGAGTCTGTCTATTTTTCTTCCGTGTACCTACCAGCTGTTGGACTTGAACTGTTGGCCTTTTGAAAAGCTTGTGTGTATCTACAAAGTAATATTTGGCTATGATAAAAATGGTTTTAAATTCCTTTTTATGAACATAAACTCTTAGTTCTGAGTGTTGATATGTTGGGGAGAAAATGAAAATAATTGTGTACTCCAAAATTCTATTTAATATTAAAGCTAATTTTAAAAAAAACCTTTTATGAGTTGGAACCAGCTGATAACTGACCCTCCAGCAGGTTTTCAGCAGCTGTAAATTCACATGAGAAGTGATCTTTCTCCTGTAGAGTTTCTGGTGGATTTGAACTGCCGGACAGCTGCCACCTCTGGGTTACCAGTGTAACTTCCTGTGGACGATGCCATCAGAGCTCCCAGATATCATAAGGTATATTAATTGACCAGGTAGCTAACGAGATGGCTACACTGGAGTCTTTAAAAGATTTTTTTTTAAAAAAGGGTTTTAAAAATCTTTACTAGAATAGTTGATGACAGCTACTCGGTGTCACAGTAGGAATTCCAACTAATAACAGAAACTGCTGTCCTTGAAAAGAGCATAAAGACATTGCACAAAGACATATTATACTTCTGCACATGAGTGTAAGGCACCTAGGGGGACAAAGCACTGGCTTCACTTTCTTAATTGAGAAAGACATACATGACATCATCGACATCTGAAACAGCACACCCCCACGCTGGATGACTGACCTGGCCTTGCATTTTTGGTAAATAGCAAAACCTAGTTTTGGGGCACAGAGCAGTCATAGTGGCTTTGTCTGTAGGAAGTAGCATTGCTAATACAAAGGTGATTTGAATTCATCAGTGGTTCCTTGGGAGAAAGATGAGCAGTTTCCTTTCCTGCTGTTTATTTACAGCCTCTGAAAACCTGCTGAAGGTCATCTATGAATTGACTCTGACTCGATAGCAATGAGTTGTTGAGTTTCAGGGCAACACTGACAATTTCAAGTAGTTTGGAGAAAAAAAGTTAATCTCAAATATTCAGCTTTAAACTTTGTTTCCCATTATTCTGGCACTTTTCATTCATCCCTCTTCCATTTGTATGTCTCTCTCTTTGCTGTTAGGAAGACCCAAAGGAATAATTCAGCCCAGTATGATATCACCCTGGTGGAGACATGCACCACCAGTGCCCTCCACAGTAAGTACATTCCAAAGGAAATGCTTCTTTAAAACCAAGTAGTGGTGACTGTGGTTTTGTTATTAATATTACTACATGTCGAGATTTCTGTTTACCCCAAAAAGATTTAAACCTATGGTTTTTTCTTTGGGATTTTTATCATCCTTGGCACAAGTTTTGTTCATTTCCTCCCCACCCCTCCAAATTTAAATTAACCAAGTTACGTCAGTATTTAAAATTATTTTGTCAGCCATGATGTGCTGTTCAGTTAGAGGGGCCTGGTTTCTTCAGAATGACTAAAATAGTTTAGTATGTGGGGAAAGGAGCTCTGTGATGGTGCAGTGATTAAAGCAGCCAACTACTCACTGAAAGGTCAGCAGTTGGAACCCACCATCAGCTCTCCAAGAGGAAGAAGCAACGTCATCTTCCGTAAAGACTGTAACACTGGAGACCTGTGAAGCCGTCTGCTGTTGACACCTCAGGTCACACCTGAGGTCACACACACAGGGTTTGTTATTTGGCTGTTTTGTTTTGTTTTTTATTTGGTTTGGAAGGAGCAATTTTGCCTGTAAGCATGAACAATTTTTTGGGAAATTGCTGCTCTTGTTGTTAGATGCCATGGGGTTGATCCTGTCACCAAATGGTGCCAAATCCTGCACCATTTTCACAGTGGTTGCCGTGTTCAAACACATTATTGTTGTCACTGTGTCAGTCTGTCTCGTCTCATTGATTCTCTTCCTTTTTTCCTCCTGACTCGGTCCCAGTATGATGTCTTTTTCCAAGAACTGGCCTCTCCTGATGATATACCCAATGTTGTTGTTGTTGTCAAGGTGCCTGCGGCTCACAGAGACCTTATGTACAACAGCCCTAAACCCTGCTTTATCTTGTGTCACTCTTATTGCCTCTGACACACCCATCCTGATTACCCCAGTCACTGAATCAATCCACCTCATAGACGGTCTTCCCCTCCTGTGCTGTCCCTCCACCCTCTCATGCATGACATCCCTCTCCAGGGACTGGTCCCTCCTTACAACATGTCCAAAGTATGTCAGACAAAGCTTCAGAATCCTTGCCTCCAAGGAGCAGTCTGGTCTCAGCCTTTCTAGGATGAACCTATTTGTTCTCCTAACAGTCCATGTATATTCAATACTCTTCTCCAGCACCACAGCAGAAAGGCATCAGTTCTCCTTCTATCATCCCTAGTCATTGTCCAGCTCTCTGAGCATAGCAAGTAATTGCAAAGACTATGGACAAAGTATGTGAGACAAAGTTTCATCATCCTTGCATATTAGGACCACCTTGGCTACACTTCTTCAAGACATGCCTGTTCATTCTTTTGACAGTCCATTGTATATTCAGTGCTTTTCTCCAGCACCACAACTCAAAGGCATCAATTCTTCTGTCATCCTTATTCATGGTCCAGCTCTCAGAAATATAGAAAGTGATTGAAAAGACCATAGTCTAAATCAGGCACCCTTAGTCTTCAAACTAATATTGCTTCTCAATTTTGGAGAGGTCCATGACAACAGACTTGCCCAAAGCAGTACATCTGCTGACACCACGGATGTTGGTAAAACCATAATGAGATACCACTTAATATTCAATCTGAATGCTGAGCAAATAATCCAAGAAGATGCTTGACTCTTTGAGGAAGAATGAAGCATTAGGGTTGTAGGAAAATTCATCAGCAACCTGTGTTATATAGATGACACAACTTTGCTTGCACAACATGAGTAAGACTTGAAGCACTTAAGATCAAAGATTA